TCAAGTGTATTAATCATTATGGACACAAGCACTGCTACTACATGCAAGTACGCTATGAGGAGGTCAAACATCACTTCACCCATACAGGTCCCTGCACATCAGAGCTGTGAGGAGCTGTGTCAAGTGAGTGAGTGAATGAGTATGGTTTTACACCGCTTTTAGCAATATTCCAGCAATATCACGGCGGGGGACACCAGAAATGGGCTTCACACACTGAACCCATGTCAGGAATCGAACCCTTTAACCACTAGGCTATCTGACCGCCCCAGCTGTGACAAGAAACTGATCTCTCACGCAAGGCTTTGACCTGTCTATCATGTTTAGGGCCATGATAGTTATTGTAATCACATCACTTAGGCTATCTGTACACTTATATGCATATCAGCTCCTTTTCTTACTAATCACAATAATGGTGGTTGAATCTACAATGAAATGTTGCTACACTTGTAAATATGTTATAAAGAAGTTTATCATAATTACCATCTTAGTATCTTTAGTATTCGGTCATTATTTTTATCATAATTACCATCTTAGTATCTTTAGTATTCGGTCATTATTTTTATCATAATTACCATCTTAGTATCCTTAGTATTCGGTCATTATTTTTATCATAATTACCATCTTAGTATATTTAGTATTCTTTCATTATTGTTATCATAATTACCATCTCAGTATCTTAAGTATTCTGTCATTATTTTTATCATAATTACCATCTTAGTATCTTTAGTATTCTGTCATTATTTTTATCATAATTACCATCTCAGTATCTTTAGTATTCTGTCATTATTAAGTCTTCTTCAAGGAGGATTTGTTATTCTCATTTCACTTCAAGGAAATGACTGTCACGGACTTCAATGACGATGGTGACAGATACTTCATCAGTGGGAATACTACTTACTAGCAAGGAAGCAGCAATAGAAACTAACTGTTTTAGTCCACTAGTCCTTATGATGACAACATATACCAAAACCCTTAATAATAGCAAATTTCTACTAGTCCTTATGATACCTTAACTATTGGGCAGTTTGGCAAGGACTACAGGACTTGTGCCAATTTCTAATGCTGGGAAGGCTTTCTAGTCTGCTAAATTCCAAAAGTGAATGAGTGAGTTGTGTTTAACGCCGCTTTTAACATTATTCCAGTTATATCGCGGCTAGTCAGCTTAATGTGGGAGAAAAGCCCGAAGTGATGCAGGTCTCAGATGTTTATCACTTCGGTGAAACCCACAAGCACGGGTATGGTGCTGACAAACCTTGAAACATAATCGGGGCCAACCGGGATTCGAACCCACAATCATAGGTTTCTGGCGTGCCCAAGGGACGCAACTCTGAACAGCGAATCGCGGCACCTTAGACGACTGGGTCACCTGTGCCCCCAAATTCCAAAAGCCCTTCATTCATGAAAGTCAACACTTGAGTATCTGTTACTGTAGTCTGAGGTCAGTGACAGCTGTCATCCTGGGCATATGGTGTGAATCATGGTGAGGGAGGAACTGTCAGACCCACTGCCATGGTCTGATGGTCACTCAGATTCTGGGAGTATGATAGGATAGCCACCAATTCTGTGTTAGTATCTGATAGCTATTATGAAGTCAGTTTAATTGTCAGTCTTACAGACAACTTGGGTAGACTTGGTATATAGGTACCAATCACGAAAATTTACATTTTTTTACGGATGTTCCCAATAAAAAATGTTCCACACATGCCCCCTCATTTGAGCATTTGCCATTTTGGTGGCGTGATTGTGGAAGATAAGACTTATATAGCATGCATTTTTACCCAGTGTCATATCAATGTATTTATTATATTATTATAATTCGGCTTATGAAACCTTTTCAGTAAGTTTGACCTTCTAAAACAAGCGCTTTATCTGTAAACACATAAGAATCGTGAATAATACTTTTTGCAACTGTAAACACAGTCAATAACTCTGAATAACTCTTTTAATGACGTTTATATCATAAAATGTATTTCTACTAATGTATTTCGGTATGCCTCGTTTATATAATTCACGGTTCACCGTATTCCCGGGTAATCTGTTGACTTGGCACTCCCGGTACCAAAAGCAGAATATCTCGATTTATAGGTTCGGCACTCCCGGTAACTATCTGAAATTCAGATTGGTGTTCCCATATTTTATGGGTGCCATTTTGTTGCCTAATAGATTTTTGGAGCAAAACTGAATGGGTATAGGGAGATAAAGCCCCCATTTTGAAAAAGGGGGGGGAAGAGGGTTATAAAGCCACTCTGTGGATAATATGGCATGTTCGTTTGACAGGACCATGTACGTCAAATGCAGCAGACATTTTGACGACACTATTTCAACATGGTCATTCTATGTTTACTGAAACCATGCATGTTGGTGAACAGTTTATGGAAGCTGGTGGTAAAACAACAAGACTAACATGATTACAACTGGTCATGCGCTAATTTGATCACTTCTATGAAGTGCATCAACGTCAAATCATCAAACTATCATCATCAGCTGTGAATAATCAAACAATAACCACTCTCGTCACCATGCTACCCCCACATTAAATATAACTGTTGTCTGGTTGTAGCAAATAATCCTTATTTGTCATGATGATATTCCAGTTCCTCAGAAATATTATAAATTGACAAGTGCAATGGCCCATTGTGAAGATGTAATGGCTCGTTATTTTGCAAATGGTCCTTTAATTTGGTTTTGATGGGGGCCATGTGCACATACCTATGCTACCTTTCCCAATAACTGATATCATGCTGACAGTGGTTTCCATGTTGTCCTTATTATGTAGTGCAGAGAATTGTTATTGTGGATATCAGGGTTAGATACCCGTGAAGATCCGGGGAAGAATAGGTCTTCAGCAACCCAGCTTGCCTTAAAATATAATCATGATGACAATCACTGTATTGTCTGGTCCAGACTCGATTATTTACAGACCACTGTCATATAGCTGGAATATTGCTGAGTGAGACGTTAAACAAAAAATAAACAAACAAACAAACAAACAACCAGGGTTAGAAATTGAACCATAGACTTGACATCTACCTAATCATAAAAGTTGTAGTTCACAAGTAAATGTTACAAGTTCTGCCTGAATTTTACAAGTCTTGGACTGGTGGACTTATGTTAATGTTTACCCCTGGAAACAAATCTTGTTATATCAGTCAATTACATGTTCCAACCAACAGACACCTGACAATCAATCAACCGTAGATAATGCTGCATGGATTACCTGCGTCTATTAACCAGTGACTCAGTAAAACATTTGGGGTGTCCAAGGCATGAACTTTGGGATCCAGGGCTTGCGACATGTGACATGCTTCACTTGATTTCCATGAATTTTACTCTAATGTCATATCTTTAAACATGCTCAGGAGCCCATAGCCTATAATCACGACAATAGATCATTATAGATGGGGATTTCAATGTTAGATTGAAGAAAAACCAGTGACATGCTGAATTTTGAGTGTATTTCCTACCAGAATGGAAATGGTTGGTTTTGGTTTGGTTCGTTTGTTGTTTAACGCCGCACTCAGCAATATTCCAGCTATATGACGGCAGTCTGTAAATAATCTAGTCTGGACCACACAATCAAGTGATTGACATAATGAGCATCGATCCACACCATTTGGATCGATGACATGCATCAACCAAGTCAGCGAGCCTGACCACCCGACTGGTGAGGACATGGTTTGACTGCACATTACTCGAGCTTCACAGGCATAGCATGACTACTTCAGACAAGATGACAAAATCACAAATGAGAGGGCATGTATCACTATGAAAGCTCCATATCATAAAATATTAATAGGGTTCACCCTGTGACAAAGTATTCCATCCTTCTATTCTGCATATTGTGTCCTACCAAATAGCAATACTGTATTCGACGTAATAAGCGCCCCGCTCTAATAAGCGCCCACAGTGACATTTGCTAATATATAGGCTAGTGAACAATCCTAATTAGCACCCCTTTTGATTGATCAATGTACACAAGACTTATTTATTCGCGTATAATACACACTCATGTGTTATATGCACCCTTAATTATGGGCAATTAAATTATGGAAAAATATATCTGTCGTACATAAATATTTCAGCATAAATGACGATATTTATCTTTCAACTCTGTTTTTTTCCACCAAAATAATATTCTAATAAGAGCTCTCTATTTCTCATTTTGAGAGCGCCCTGGGCGCTTTTTACGTCGAATACATGTTTTGTTGGCCTATTGGCCTGTGAATGATGCAACATTGCACTTTTACCTGCAAGTGCTTGAGTCAATACTGTCAGTATATTTGCTTGTGAACAGTGAAGGAATTGATCCTGTCATTATTTGATACAGTGATAACATATTAATATAATTTCCATTACTTTCTTAATAATAATTGACAAAAACAAATAGGCTCCAACAAATGTGTTGAAAGGGTAGAAATTGAATGTAAACATCATGGATCCAAAGTCCCCTTTTCAAAAAGATAGTGACATTATCATGCTTATGAAATTCAAAGTTCACTATTGAATTATGTCTAAATGTCAGTGCATCAGCCAAAAAAACGAGTACATCTTTTGATTTGAGTAACAATGTTTGGATTGGTGATGTATTCCCATTGTTATTGAATAGGCCCTAATCAGCTGATACGATAGCCCTGATGGACTTGTTCAAGGCCGTTTCAAAACATAATTGCAGGTGAGCCTTCTGTGTGGGCACTGCAGATATGAACCGAAGTGTACGTTGCAAAACAAGAAATGAACAATATCAAGGTCGCTGAAAAATTGTAAACAAATGCCAAATGCGTTAGGTAATGGTAAGAATCGAGGTCAAAGATAAAATGGTCAATCGCATCTAACATATTTCCATCAGAGACAGTACGTGACATAAGACATTAGCCTGGTGCAAAGTTAATTGTGAGACATAATTTTGACATAAAGCTAGTTACAAGGATTAAAATCACACTGCGTAAAAGAATGTAGGCCATGCTAGTCCCAAACATTGAAACACACGATACGGGCCCTACCTGTACGCAAGAGTTAAACACTGAAATAGCTTGGTTAGCGACGCGTCGATTGCAAGAGTCCTTGTGCTTCTTGGACCAAAACTATAGGTCTGAGAAGTCTCTTTCGTCGCTTCCATAAAATCGTATCCGACAGAATCACCCGACTTGTCGTCATATTCGTCGAATTCGTCAGTAGCGGGGTCGTGTACACGACTTATCATGAAATGCCCACTATGAATTTGGTTCGCCTTTTCGGTTTTCATTCCTTCTGATTTGTTACTCTGAATTTCCAACATAGTTTCCGGTGAATGCGTTTTCAAGGGGTCTTCTATGGCCATAACAAATCCAGACACTGTACTGACAGTACTTCAGTGCTAAATACTTTTGAGAAAACAATTCAAGAATGTCTGTGGTAGACATTACTCTCGTGATCACTCGCTGAGGGTGTGAACGATAGCCAATCAAAACACAGTATTTCAAGGTTAGGAAAAGATAACTCATGAGTAAATCTTTCCATGTAATTTCAGGTTATAATCGTAAAAATCAGTTCAAATCCCTACATCTCAACTACGGCATGTATTTTTCATTTCGAGGCCACAATTATGATTCTTTGTTTTTTTATTTGTTTAGATAAGATTCCGTTTTGATAAGATTGAATATCGTTCAAAACGTAGATATTAACTTTATGAATAAAAGTCTAGTGTCTACAAAATAAAAGCCACAAAAGTATTTCCATAATCACAGTTAATCTCTGCTGAAGCCACTTTCTGTACAAGAGTCATAATCAGTTTCAATGATAAGGACAAAGCTACGGGAATAATTGTAAACGGAATTGTCCTCACTGACCTACTCCTTTTGTTACGTAGTAACCCATGAGTAAGCGACATAGAAAAGTACGTCACATTTCCACAATCTAGTGTACTCTTCCAGTGAAGCATTAGAAAGTATTGTCTGAAAGTGAAACGCTAGCTTAATGTAATCAACGTCACCACGCATTCATAAACTGACACAGATAATTAACCTTCATCAGAATAGTGTTGCTTTTAATTACCTGATTCAACATGCTAGGATTGCATATTGGCCAAACTCCGACACTATTTTAATTGCTTATTGGCGCTCATTAGCGTTAACTGGTAATCGCACATTACTTAGACACACCACCAGTTAGCTTAAAACAATACATTTTATGGTTGAGTGAACAGCAAGTCAACTGACCTTTACCTCAACAACAACAACAGCAAACGTTTATTTCACGTCAAGGTAAAAGGCTAGGACATGTTGAAGCTACAAGAGAAGATATATGATGTGATAATGGAGGTGAGGTGAGGTGAAATTGGGTTTAACGTCGCGTCCAAGATTATTGCACTTATATAGCGACGTGCACGTACGTGTGTGTTTGTGTGGCTGCTTGTACTAGTCCGGACTGATGCCGATTTATAGTGCTAGCTCACTGAGATACCATGCCGCAGTTTAACATGAATACCCCACTCAGACACAGTATACTGACTCCGAGCCGACCAGTCCTTGTTTTAGGCCCTTAATGCCGAGCGCCAGACAGGGTAACAACAAGTACCATCTTTTAGCGTCTTTTGGTATGACGCGGTCGGGGATCGAACCCCGGACCTTCCGCTCTCCGGGCGGACGCTCTACCACTAGACCACGGAGGCGGTCGTGTGATAATGGAATGAGGCAGGCGTGTGTCAGCTATACGTGTAACTGCAACACAATCATACATTTGAGGGGCGGTCGGGTAGCCTAGTGGTTAAAGCGTTCGCTCGTCACGCCGAAGACCCGGGTTCGATTCCCGACATGGATACAATGTGTGAAGCCCATTTCTGGTGTCCCCCGCCGTGATATTGCTTGAATATTGCTAAAAGCGGCTTAAAACCATACTCACTCACTCATACATTTGATTAAAGATCTTGAGGATTTCTTTTACCATCTGTGCTGGTTTTCTACATTCAAATGCATGTAATATTTCAGTATATGCAGATATAGATTTTGTAGAATTTTGAAGTATTGGTTGAACTTAAATAATACTTGTAATTGTATATTACAGGTTGCATATGATATTTGTTTGCAGCATTGTGATAAAAAGTGGGCATTGTATGTAGAAGATATGTTGTGTACAAATGGTCTTACATATGTGTGGTTAAATGCCTTGTCTGTAAATTCTAGGGTATTTGTCTCTTTGTTCATACAGACTTATTGATAATTATATACAAAAATGGAACTCAGATCTTAATAATAGGAGAAAGTTGATGTCGTACAGATATATAAAAGTAGCCTTTGGTTATGAGTTATATCTCAATATTTTACCACACGATCTAAGGAAATATGTAACAATGATTAGAATATCGAGTCATAAGTTAAAAATAGAAGTTGGACGCTATCACAACATTATCAAAGCTCTTAGATACTGTGATTATAGTCAGGCTAGATTTGTTAATGTGCTTGGAGATGGGTATCATTTTCTATTAAAATGTCCCAAATATACATATATTTATATATACATTAATATTATTGGGAAAGGTCACCTGAATCAAAACTAGTTAGCTTGATACAAACAAGTTGTAAAACAAAATTGTTATACATTTCCAACTATATTATGTCCTGTTTCAATAACTTGAAATCGTGTCCAACCTCCATTGCCAATAAATATTTTTGTTGTGTCTGCTGGACGAGGGGCAGAAGCCCAAGTTTTTTTCATCAATAAATGTCTGCTCTGTTCTGTTCTGATTACATGAGTCAGCAAATAATACATTATACATAACATTACACAAACAATACATTATACATAACATTACTCCAATAATACATTATACATAACATTACATAAATAATACATTATACACAATATTACACAACTAATACATTATACACAATATTACACCAATTATACATTATGCACAACATTACACAAATAATACATTATACATAACATTACACTAATAATGCATTATACATAACATTACACAACTAATACATTATACACATATTTACACCAATAATACATTATACACAACATTACACAAATAATACTTTATACATAACATTACACAAATAATACATTATACATAACATTACACAAATAATACATTATACATTACAGTACACAAATAATACATTATGCACAACAATACACAAATAATACATTATATACAACATTACACAAATAATACATTATACATAACATTACACAAATAATACATTATACATAACATTACACAAATAATACATTATACACAACATTACACAAATAATACATTATGCACAACAATACACAAATAATACATAAAACATAACATTACACAAATAATACATTATACATAACATTACACAAATAATACATTATACATAACATTACACAAATAATACATTATACATAACATTACACAACTAATACATTATACATAACATTACACAAATAATACATTATGCACAACAATACACAAATAATACATTATACACAACATTACACAAATAATACATTATACATAACATTACACAAATAATACATTATACATAACATTACACAACTAATACATTATACATAACATTACACAAATAATACATTATACACAACATTACACAAATAATACATAAAACATAACATTACACAAATAATGCATTATACACATTACACAAATAATACATTATACATAACATTACACAACTAATACATTATACACAACATTACACAAATAATACATTATACATAACATTAAACAAATAATACATTATACACAACATTACACAAATAATACATTATACACAACATTACACAAATAATACATTATACATATCATTACACAAATAATACATTATACACAACATTACACAAATAATACTTTATACATAACATTACACAAATAATACATTATGCACAACAATACACAAATAATACATTATACACAACAATACACAAATAATACATTATACATAACATTACACAAATAATACATTATACACAACATTACACAAATAATACATAAAACATAACATTACACAAATAATGCATTATACACATTACACAAATAATACATTATACATAACATTACACAAATAATACATTATACACAACATTACGCCAATAATACATAATATTACACAAATAATACATTATACACAACATTACGCCAATAATACATAACATTACACAAATAATACATTATACACAACATTACGCCAATAATACATAACAATACACAAATAATACATTATACACAACATTACACAAATAATACATTATACACAACATTACACAAATAATACATTATACATAACATTACACAAATAATACATTATACATAACATTACACAAAAAATACATTATACACAACATTACACAAATAATACATTATGCACAACAATACACCAATAATTCATTACGCATAACATTACACAAATAATACATTATACACAACATTACACAAATAATACATTATACATAACATTACACAAATAATACATTATACATAACATTACACAAATAATACATTATACATAACATTACACAAATAATACATTATACACAACATTACGCCAATAATACATAATATTACACAAATAATACATTATACACAACATTACGCCAATAATACATAATATTACACAAATAATACATTATACACAACATTACGCCAATAATACATAATATTACACAAATAATACATTATACACAACATTACGCCAATAATACATAATATTACACAAATAATACATTATACACAACATTACGCCAATAATACATAATATTACACAAATAATACATTATACACAACATTACGCCAATAATACATAACATTACACAAATAATACATTATACACAACATTACACAAATAATACATCATACACAACATTACACAAATAATACATTATACATAACATTACACAAATAATACATTATACACAACATTACACAAATAATACATCATACAATTTTGTTTGTTTATTAAAAGTTATCTTAGACCAATATGTCAACATTCTTTGTTTAATTAAATCAGTAATAGGGGTTATTCCCAGTTCTCCGTATAAAATACCCTAAGTATATATCTTCAGAAACCTATGTGAACCTTTTCTATCATATCTAGTTTGCCAAATCCCAAACTGTCGGAACCAGATGTTAATATAGGCACGCTTTATCAAATAGTAATAACTGGCAGTCTATTGGCAAGTCAAGATTACGTATTCTAATATATAAAGCTTGAGCTGCTAACGACAGCTTGTCTCCTAGGAAATTTCCAATTCGTTTCCAAATACTTATATTGATCTACTTCTTCAACATCATCGCCTGTCCTAAACACATTATTGTTCTTTATTGATCAAAATACAACCACCTTAGTTTTATCAATATTAATATTCAACTTCCATTGTTTACAATGTTTATTAAAAAAATATTCAAAATATATATCATCTGCATACAGCAAAACAATA